TTTTACAATTTATGCAACAATTTTTCTTCTAATATTTTTCCGCCAATGTTTTATAAAAATATGCTTCATTTTATAACAAAAACCATAAAAATATAATTCCTAAACTTTGTGCAAAACTCACGAAAATTTAGCAAATTTTCATGCGAATTTTCAACCTTTTAATCAAATTTTTTAGAATTTTTTTGAGTATGCAGAGTACACGTTTTAAGTTGGTAGGAATTAGCGTTGATTTTTGGCAATTTTTTTTCACGCAGTCTCTTCCATACAAAAAAATTTTTTCGGAAATACTTTATATGCAAAAAATGTAAAACACCTTCACCAAAAAAATTCTCAAAAATCAGTGGAATTTTTAACTAACTCCGAGCTTGAAATTTTTTAATACAATTTAATTGCGTACTCAAAAAACTAACAAAAAAATCTGATTAAAAAGTTGAAAACTTGCTGAATTTTCGCGAGTTTTTCACAAAGTTTAGGAATTATATTTGTATGTTTTTTGTTGTAGAATGAGCCATATTTTTATAAAAAAAATTGGAAAAATATTAGAAAACAAATTGTTGCATATATTGTGAAAAATTTACTGTGTCAATACTTTTTGCCGGCAGTGTAGATATGTTAATACGCATGCGCAGCCGCCACCGCCTCATATTCTGATAAATGCTTCATTTGTTTAATAATAAAAGAATAATAAGGGAACTGTGTGGCCGTTGAAGAAACCAACATATCAACAAGTGTTTGCATTTATTTAAATTGGAATAATTAAGTGAGGCATAGAATGGATGACGAACACTGCCAACACAAAAGAAAAGAACAGAGAAATAAAAAACACACAATGAAGCATCGTAAATATTACTTAAAAGAAGGCAGACAAAAAATTTAATCTCCACATGTCGGCAGTCTGGCACGCCAACGCAAAGCTACGTCAAAGCAGCGTTAATGCACTTGCCACTTGGCTACGCGCTGGGCAGGGATGGCACTGATTGTGGCAAGCCACCAATACACCACGCCAACGCTACGACGCGACGACGCAGTTCAACACATTACGCTATTCCTTATGCTGTGATTGAAGAAATTCCTTAGGCAACATTAACGCCGCTGCAATGCCACCAATTGACCTTCCACGAATTGAATGCAAGTGCACGTGCAACATCATGCACAGAGTGATGAGAAAGGGAAGAGTTGTGGATGGAAGGAGGAGAATTACAATTGATTGTGAATTTAAAGGCGTATAGAGAAAGCAAGGCTTGAATCTCATCTGAATGCTTGGGATTTTATATATTTTGCTATGCTTCTTTTGTGTGCTCGGAATGTGGAGCGGAGAAGGTGTGCGTTGGCGGGCGAGTTGACATTGATTGAACTGTTTGAATAGGCGATTGCGGGGATGTTTAACAAATGAAGTGATTAGAGGAAGTAAATCACATAAATTTTATTAATCGGGGAGCCCTTGTAGATATTTACTCACAAGCTACTGCTATAGCTTAACCCTAAAAACCAAACGTTCTCCCGAACGCTTTAAATCCTGACCGTCAATTTCATATAGAATTCGGGAAAATTCTAGAAATACCAAAAATTTGTCTTAAAAAAATTTTCAACTTTTCAATTCCACTTCTCAGA